TTTTTTTGTTCTTTTTCCTTTCTCCTCCATCCGATCATCAAAATTCATTGTCTCAGGATGAGATGATACTTCCACCACAAAACCTAAATTCTGAAGGCTAAGTAGGTCCTGAAGGTCCCTGGCCATCAAGATTAGGCCCTGATCAATCCATTTGGAAGAATCTGGGAGACCAGCAAAATAATGTTCACAAAATGCAAATGTTCATAAAATGTTCAAAAGACTTAATTCACATGTCAAATGACAGGAAAATGGATAAATGGTGGTTAAAAATGAGATAATGTGAGAAGTTTGTGAAAGAGTCTATGTCAAAGAAAAATGGGGTGGAGGAGACTTAGAAGTCTTCATTGTAAAAAAATGTACTCCTCTGAGACAGGCTTGAGCATGTAGGTAGGTACTGGGCTCATGTTTTGGCTTTTGGCTTCCCCAGAGCTATGTATTTTTGGCTGTCCTAGTTGACAATACTGACAAAAATAATCAGCTACTGTGATTAATGATTGCTTATTATGAGCCAGGCATAGTGTGAGCATTTTATGTACATTAATCTTGCTTAATCCTCATAGCAGCCATATGAGATGGGTACCACTGACTTAAAGAGTAACCTATATAAGGAGGTGGTACAGCATGTGGTTAACAGCATATGTTCTGGAGTCAGGGGACTTATCTTTTCTTTTTCTGAGTTATGCCATGAGTCCACATGGCCCTGGCCAGTGGAAAGGGGGTCCTGACCCTGGGACTAGGCACTAGGGAAGAGTTCATTTCCCAGGATCCATTCTGAAAGGAGGTCTAACAGTCACATGCTTGTAATTCTTCTGAAATTCATGTACATGGCAGAGACTGCTAGTCGTCCCCTTTATCCTTTAGCAATGGATTCCCCTAGTTTAGCTGAACACATAGCCACCCCAAATACAATCTGTATTTCTCAGCCTCTTCTGCAAAAAACTTTGGCCTGTGACTAAGATGTGGCCAATGGAATACAAGTGGGAGTAATATATGCAACTTCTGGATTACACCCTTAATAAAAAGCTTGCCCTCTACTTCCCTGCTTTCCCTGTCTGCTTGCTGGAATGCAGACTTGATAGTTGGTACTGGGGCAGCTACCTTGGACCATGAAACAGAAGCCCATTATTGATACTGACAAAACAATAAATAGAGGAACATGTGTTGTGGTGAACATAGTGCTGCCACACCAGCTCTGATGGCCAACCCAGACTTGAGAATGCTTGACCTAGTCACCCCAAGATGCACTCACCCAGTGGGTCAGCTTTTCCATCCTTGTCTGGAACTGTGAACACCCCTACTACTCTGTGGCCCTCTTTGCGGAGGTGGCTGTAGACTTCCTGTCCAAAGAGGCTCTGACCAATAAGTGCCAACTTCAGTTTGTTTTTGAAATAAACCTGTGAAACAGTTCAATGATGACAGATGTAAGCATGGTTAGATGACGTTGGGTAATACACATTTCCCTCAGTCATACAAGATGACTCGAAGACTACAAAAGGCTCAAGGAGCTACAAAATAAAATTTTTATTGACATATACAGAACCCAGACTACATGTAGATAACAGTAAAAATAATTTCACACATAAGTATTGCTCATTTTCTCTTGGCTCTAATTCCCTTGATTATTCATTTGAATCATTGGGATTGCTTTTTTCTGCTAATTTTTATTTATTTATTTATTTTTGAGCCTGTGTTACACAGGCTGGCGTCGAATTCCTGGGCTCAAGCGATCCTCCTGCCTCAGCCTCATGAGTAGCTGGGACTACAGGTGAACGTCATTGTGCCCAGTGGGATTGCATATATTTTTAAAATCCACCTCAACTTCTTGGTGAAATGAAGCCAGATGTAAGGAAAAAAGTGTGTTAAAAGGAGCTTAACTCTGAGCAGGACCTACCTCAATATGATAGTGCTTTTATGCCCCTGCAATATAGAAATAAAAACTGGAACTCATCTCTTAACCTACCAAAGAGGCCAAAAGCTGACATTTAGTGTGTACACACACACACACACACACGTGTGTGTATATATGTACATATATAACATTTAGTATACAAGGATCAAAAGCACAGACCCTAGAGCTAGGCTACTTAAAGTCAAAACCTAATGCCACCATTTAGTTGTGTGGCCTTAAGCAAGTAACTAATTTCTGTTTGCCTTTTTTTACTTCTCATCTATAAAATGGAAATTTTACCAACTTCATACAATTTTGATTGAAGTAAATGACATTATGCAGCAGGCAGTGTGTGACACAAAGTACTATTTAAGTACAAATTTTAATAATATTTTGAAGGTCTCGCAATATACTAGACCCTGTTCTATGTTTTCTCATATAGTCTAGAGTTCAAAAATCCCTGGTAAGTGGCCCAAACTCATCTGCCCTCAAGACCTGGCTTGATCTAATGTGATGGTTTTTGTAGTCATTATAGGTTTCTTGTAAGTTTGGCACAAACTTATTTGGCTTCCAATTTGACCTGAGCTGACATAATGCTATTTGTAGTCTTTATGTATAATATTTATAAAGACTATATGAATATTCATATGTTTGCTGCAGAAAAATCAATATGTTTGGTTATGGGGACTGCCCAGAGCCTGCTGGTGATTTTATGTAACGTACTATCTATGTACCATATTAACTTTCTAAAATGTAAATAAGTCTGAACTATAAAACACGTTTGGCCACAAAGTTTTCAGATAAGGGATCAAGGCCTACATATTATTAATATTTCATTTCATTCTCACATCTATGCTGTTTTATTATCCCCCATTTTGCACCATTTTATGGTTGAAGAAATCAATGCTTAGAAACGTCAAATAAATCCCCAAGGCCACACTGCTAGAGACAGAGAGAGCCTGGGATGTGAATTCAGGTCTGTCTGACACCAAAGCCCACGTATACACTTAAAAGCAAAATAATTAAAATGAACTACCCATCTCTTCCATCTTCTTCATAGACTAACACAGACATACAAAAGTACCATAATTATCAAGAAAGATAAATACCATATGGATAAGAGTATCACTAAAGGGGATAAAGTTTTAAGTACATCTCTGAGCTATTATACCTTCTGTGAATTCTCCCAACATGCAGCCTTCTCACAATGCTTAAGGCCATATGTGGACGGGATAATTGTCAAGATGATGATGAAAAAAGATCAGATGAAACAAGCTGGATGCAGGACTGTGGGTGTAGAGATGGCCATCAGAGGGCTACACCTTCCTGTGTGCTTCCCTTCCTGGCAGTGTCTGCCCAGAGCTCTCTGCCTTACACTCTCCCCTGTTAGAATATGGCTCTACGGGATTCAGATTTAGAATGTATTTTTTCCCCTTCAATCTAAATGAGATTCTCTAGTGTTCTGGAAAGTCATTCTAAATTAGTAAAGTCTCACTGTGAAAACTTAATTTCTCCTTATTTCCCACTTTATTAAGGGCATAGATAACATTACTTTTTAGGCATAAATTTAAAAGGATACCAGATCACAGCTACCCTGTAATTGAGATGATAATTAAACAATTAAGGTGTTAGTTTTAAAAAATCCTTTTCCAAAGTCAGTCAACGTTTCTATCCCAAAAGAGCCTAATTAAGCTTCAACGTCTAACAAATACTTGCAGGCAAACAGATGAACTCTGTAACTGCAAATTCACCCATAGATAATGCATGCTTGACCATTTAATTTTCTTTCTTCAAAAATCAAAATGTTTTATATTCTATCATCAAATCCTATAATTAATGCTGTTGCTTGAAATAGAATCTATATTTTGGCCACCTAGCAAAAATTTGGCTTTACTTCATACCATTACCAATGCCAGATATTATAAGACATGTAAAACACTACTTTCAAAACACGTAAGAGCTGAAAGACTAAGCTAACTCAAATATGATGTGCTGCTCAGCTGTCATCTGGTTATTTAGACTTCATTCCAGGTGCAATACTCTCAGAAAGACAGCATTTAAAGAAACCATGTCAGTATCTCTGGAAATACTATGTTCATTGAAGCACTTTCTGAGGTTAATGCTAACGCTAAAGCTATAAAGTGAGTTTCTAACATTGAGAAATTTTCGGATTTTATAACTATAATTGTGTTTATGAGTTAGCAGGATTCCAGAAAACCAGATGGGGATATTTTACCTTCATCATTTTTTTTTTTTTTTTTTTTTTTTGCCTTCCTATCGTCAAAGCAGAAGTCTTATTTCTTCAAGTGTGGTTTGAGGACTGACTGCCCATGTTGGCAGAAACAATTGGGAGGATATGTTTAAAATGTAGATTCCTGGGCCCCACTTAAGATCTATTGAGTCAAAAAAAACTCAGGCCCAGGAAGTTGCATTTTAACAAGCTCTCCAGCAACTCACAGGCACACTCAAGTCTGAAAATCTCTGCCCCATGGAGAGTATACGTCAACCCACAGCAAGATTGTTCCCTGGGAGTTTGAGTCAGGGCAAAGGGTGGCAATAATAGCAAACATTTGAACAAGATCCTTGTATGTGCCAGGTATTTCACATATATTATCTCTTTTGATTGCCCAATGACTCCCGGAGACAGGCATCATTAACCCACTTTCATAGAAGCACAGAGAGGTTAAAATACAGCCCGGAGTCAAATAGACACTAAGTGGCAGCCCTGAGAGTCTAACTCTATTTATTATTCCAGGGCCCATAATACCAGGCCTGCAATCTTGAGCTGGGCCTCAATTTCCCTCATCAATTAAAATCAGAATAACAATAGTACCTATCTCATAAAGTTGTTATAAGGATTCAGTGGGATAAAGTATGTAATGTATTAGTGCAGTGCATGGCAATAGTAAATGCTCAATAAATGTTAACTATTATTATTATTATACTACGAGTAATACCTAGGTAAATAAAAATAATGATAATGGATATCTCCTATTGGGAATATACCCTGAGCCAGGCACTACATTGATCCCTTTTCATTAATTCAAAAGATATTTATCAAATGCTTATTATATGTCTTTAATCCTCACAGTGACTCATTTTACAAATGAGAAAACACAGGGCTCAGAGAAACTAAGTCACCTGCCCAAGAAGAGAGCCAATAAGGATTAGGGGCAGGATTCAAATCCGGATCCACCTCACTTTAGCACATGTGCTTCTAAGGCTTTCCTATGTGGAAGGCCTCTCCTCTTTTTAAAAAGAAGAAAAACATGGCAACGGTTTGACAGTTCAATTGCAGGAAACAGTTCCATCAGCCTTCCTAAGAGATTGCTATGGTGGCCCTGACATGGAGACAGAACTATTCTTCCAGGAACTCTCACTACAGCTGCCTGTTGTAATGGTGAGAGAGAAGGGGTGTAAATGCTACACAGCATTTTAAAATCTGGGTGATAAGTGCTATTATGTTGGGGTTCTCTAGAGATAACATTCTGCGTTGGAAGAGCCTTTTGCAGGGGAAAAGGCTTTTAAATACCTAGCAGTGTGATTGCTGGGTCATATGGCAGGTATATGTTTAACTGTTATATAGTTTTCCAAAGTGGCTTCTCATCAGCCACGTATCTATTTGATTTTGAATAATTTTTACAGAACACAGTCCAGAAGATGGACCTGCATTTTCTACGGAGTTAAATATCCCACATTCTTCATTTATCATTTAATGTCTTCCTTTTAGTCATGGAGGAACCTACCTTCTTCCCAGCCATACCTGTCACTGCTTTTCCATATGCACTCCTGGGGATACAGTCGGACCCTGATCATGCCGGGTGCTTCTCCACATCTGTGCCTTTGTTTATGCCATGTGCCACCTGGGATGTTCACCTTATAATACTGAAATCTTATGCAAACCTCACTATCAAAATCTTTTCATTCTTCAAGACTCCCTTCTGCTCTCCAAAAAAGACAATTTAATGAAATGTGTTGACAGAGGAGGCCTACAAAACAGGTAGCACAGCCCGTTGCTCTCTGTGCCATCGCCCAGATCCACAGGTGCCATGTGGTGGGAGAAGCTCAGGAGTGGTCCAGAGCACTGCTTAGGAGAGCAGGCAAAAGCCCTAGCAGAGCAGGTCTTTTCCCCCTTATTTTATATAAGGTGAATACTCCCCTAAGTAATTAGAGCTGATTGCCAGGAGTAAAATGAATTCTCATTATTTGGGGTTGCCTAGGGTACAAAAGCTTTTTCATTTATGCAAGTTTGGGCCACTTTTTGGTGCTGCTCAAGAGTTGTCTCTGCCTCCAAGTTTTGTACATTTGAGTATATACATATGTACATATGGCTTTAGCATGGCAGAGAAAACAAATCGAAAAGCAAATTCTTTTATAAGACAGCAAGCATGTACTTCTTATAAAAGAGATCATGTACATGGGATGGAGTTTTCGTTTTTTGTTTTTTTTAATTTTTTTGTCTGCCCTGAACAGCTTGGAGTCTGCCTTAGAAGCAGAGAGGCATCTCTCCCAAGGCTCCCTAAGTGCTGAAGGCAGCACCACATGCAACGTGTCCGCTCTCGTTCCATTTCTGGAGGAGCTGATGCAATTCCAAGCCGCGGGGCTGGGCCAGAGCTTGAGCTTGGTTCTCGCGCTGCAGTTTGATAATGTTCCAGCGTGGCTGCCTCTGCAGCGCCTGGTAATCCTAGAAATCTTGCCATCTGCGACTCAGCTCGGGAATACTGAGCTTGCAGCCACCAGCTCTCAGAATCATTATCTGAATGGGCCGTGTATAAAGGTCCCGAGCGCTTACACCTCTCAGGCAGCCAGAGAGGACGCGGCTGACACGCTACTACGCTCTTCCAGGAGACGGTCTCTGTTCCATACGGCTTCATCTCTTGACCAGGGGTCTCACGATTGAAATGAAGAAGGAAAGGAAGCAGACTCTGCTCTCTACACCAAGTGACTGTTCCCACCTGTCATCCCAGCTGGACCTGACATGTTCAAAAGCTGCATCCTCAGCCCCTTCCCGGTAGAAGACAATGGCTTGCTTGACAATTTCCATCCAGGACCCTCCCCCGGCCCTTGTCTGAAGTCTCCCATTTTTTAAAAAGCCGTCTTGGCTTTTAGCAAAGTCTAAGCATCGCCGCCCACCCCCAGCTCCGCCGCCCCGGCCCTCCCGCCCCGGAATCTGGAAACCAGGACAGGGTGAGAGCCGGGACCCTCGCCCCGGCCGGACTCACCCGGCCGGTGGAGAATCGCCGGAGCGCCTGGCTGCCCTGTCGCAGCATGCTGGAAAGGAGCGCGGGCGCGGGAGGCACGACGACGCGGGAGGCAGGCGGGCGGTGCAGCCTGGGCGCGGCCTGCAGCCTGGATGCCCCGGACAGCCCCGCTCGCAGCTCGCGGCCTCGGCTAGCCGGGTGCCCGGCCCACGGCTCCGCCCCTCAGCCACGCCCCCTCGGCAGCCAAAACCCCGCCCCTCGGCTGCAAGTGCCCGCCCCCTCGGCTGGCAGAGCCCTCGTGACCAATCCTGTGCAACCTGCCCCGGCACGCGCCAGCGGGGCCCGGGCCTCGGTGCAGCGCTCGCAGCCGGCCCGGACTGCGGATGGCGGCTGTCTGGACTCTTCCTCGGTTCCAGTCATGGTGCAGGTACTTACTAGCTGTTCTACCAGTTACTCAGACCCTGTGAGATATGCAGGGATCTGCCTTATTAGTGGTCAGTCTGACACCAAGACAGATAATAGGTACATGTCCTCCCTCACCTTTCTCGAAGAAACGCTGACACGCTTTAGCTGAGCACCTGTCTCAAGCGAACGCTTTAACCTGGCATTCAAGGCCGTCTGCAATTTGGCATTTACTTTTATCTCTCACTGCTCATTTACACGTGTAATTCTGCCGAGTCCTTCCTGGGCAATGCTTCTTCCCAGAAAATCTTGTCACTTGTCACTATCTTGGTGTGACCAAATTTCTTCTTTTCTTCAAGGTACAGTTCAAATGCTGCCTCCTGGAGGCACTTTTTCTGATTCTTTCCTCCGTTAACGTCTTTATTCCCATAGGTAATCTTTCACTCCTCTAAACTGGGAAGCCTTTTTGTCTATGCAGCTCTTGTGAACATTTCAATCTGTCGTTGGTATTTGTGTGGCTGTTATCCGTACTGGAAGGTCCGTGCGGGCTGAGTTTGTCTGATATATCAGGACTTACAGTACCTATAAGCAGAGCTTTAAAAAATACTTGAGTGGCTCATGCTGGAATCCCAGTACTTTGGGAGGCTGAGCCACTCACTTGAGCCCAGGAGTTGGAGGCTGCAGTGAGCTATGATGGTACCACTGCACTCTAGCCTAGGGCCAAAGAGTGAGATCCTGTCTCAAACAAACAAACAAACAAAACTTGTTGAAAGAGAATAAAGGAATGAATGTGTTTAAGATGGTAAGAAGGAGAGAATAAGAGCCACCCTTAAAGCTTGGAGAATTGCAGCAAACATCCAGGGTTTTTGTTTGGGTACCACCCCTTGCCACTTGGACCCACTTCCCTGACTGCATTTTGTGGCTTCTTGCTTCCTTTAAAGTACCGAATATTGATATTCACTTTATTTGTTTTGATCTGTGTATCCTAGGAGAGGGTGAGCAAGGAGTGTGAGTTTGGTTTGGTTTTGTTTTATCTTTTGGCTGCCATATGGGGCGCGCTCCGGGCCGTCCCACCCCACGACCTGGTTTTTCTTGAGTGGGGTTCCATAGTTATATATTTCCACTACCAAGTTTAGGAGATAGAGAGTTTACGTTCACCCAAATATAATGAAATATTCGTGATATGTAAATTTTTTTCTGGAAGAACCAGAAGTGTAGTTCTCTTGATAATTGGAGGTTAGATCAGATGCAATTAGAGAGTTTGACAAATAAAAAACTCTGCCAATCTAGATTTCTGTACCAAGCAAAAATAGTCCTTAATAATAGAGATAAAAGAAAGTTATTTTTAAAAACAAAAACTTGAGAAAGTTTGTCATCAGTAGACACACAATAAAGGGAATATTAGAGAATATCCTTCCAGCAGAAGGAAAATTTCCCATATGAAATGCAGGAAGACCAACAAAAAAGGAAAAGTTGTGAGCAAAGTTAAATGAACATTGACTGTATGAACATTAATAATATAATAGTATCATATTATAATCAATTAATATAATGAATATGATTATATTAATATAATAATGAAACATTATACATTTATGTATGTATACATGAAAATATACAAATAACAATAGAAAATTTTTGGATATGTTTGGAGACTGGGAGGAATGAAATGTTCATTAGGCAGAAAGAACATAATCCCTGATGGAAGCTTAGAGTTGAAGGAACGAAAAGCAACAGAAAGGGTAAATATGGGAGCAAATTTAAGTTAATATTACTATTAACTGCATAAAACAATAATAATGTTTTATGAAGTTCAAAAATATATAGAATCAAAATACATAACAATACCATATGGTTTTCCAGAAAAGAGAGTGGAGTTAAAGTATTCCAAGTTTCCAGCATTGTCTTGGAAATAATAGAAGTACTAATGTATGTTAGACTTTAATAAGTTAAG